CCCGAATATTCTCTAGACATAAGGCGAAACATATACCTATTGATATTCCATTTGATATTGACTCTCTCGAAAAGTCTTTTTTTTACGAGCTACGTTGTTAGTCAAGTTTCTTATTTGCTTGTTACTCCATGCCTTTAAAACAGAATTTTTTAATTAATTTAACAATTGAAATTGTGAAAAATGGCGCTGGTCGTAAGAAAAGTCAGATTTTCCTAGAGAGTCAATGACTAAGGAAAAGGCCAATAATTAGCTGTTTTACTTTACATCAGTCGTAGTGCTTTGGCGTCCGTTTTCCATTAATTTCTCACCTGTTTCTCACCTTTCTATTTGTATACCTCGGATGCACCTTCGTCTTTTCGAGACTAACTCGGGTCAACGTGTAGTCGTTCGCACATCCCGACGGCCGCACAGACGACGGTGGCCCAGGTGAGAACGTCAGTCATGCAAAAAGGAACAAGCAAAGACTAAGGGACGAGGATGAGGAAGGTGTAAGGTACCGCGGCGACATAACACGCGTGACTCGTCGGGGATCACGCAGCACGCGCAGGTATGAGCCGCGGCGGCTCGCGGCCAAATGAAATTTTAGCAAAGTCGTGGCCGGAAAGCGCAGGGCGGGAAGGGCAGGGCGGCAAACGATCCACGACAATGGAACAATGGCCTCGGAAGTCGTCCGGAGGCGTCGGCGCGCTTCTTCTCGCGGGCGAGACGCGCCGCGATAATTATATCGAGGCACGGAATCTCGTGCCAGAAAAACTTGTCTTCGGCCCTCGGGAAGAACTCCCGAACGACGCTTCGGCGTCGCCCAACTAAAGGCGAATTTACACGGTTCGCTCCCGATGATTACCCCGGATGAATCATCCAAAATGAATTGGACAAGCGGCTTCTTGTTCGCGGCATTCGCCGCTCGAGACACGCGGCACGAGACGCAGGAGATTCCTCTTCTACCTTCTCCTTCTCCTCCTGTTGCAAAGTTACTTCTACATGATTCCGTATGGTAAACCGCGATTATAAACTATTTCGCACAGTTGCACGCGATAATATTGGATATAAGTGTGAGCGCGTGCACGCACGCGATCGTCAACTGTAAACTCGCGATTCTCGACTGTAAACCAGCTCGAAACTCCCGGCTACTAGTTCTCTCAACTACCAACTTTCGACTCTCGTCTCGTGACCCGCAATTTCTCGCTCCCGACGACAAGAGACTCGCGATTTGCGTTGTTATTGCGTGCAGCGAAACAACAAAGATGTCAATTGAGAAATCGTCGTGTTCGTGCGCGGATATCTTTCTCGCTGGTGGCTTGTGCAAGGTCGAGGTCGAGAATTTTCTGCATCTTATTCTTATCCCGTGTGTGCACGTCGCAGGTGAGCGAGAGCGAGAAACGATCGCCAACGTCTACGGCGTTCAACAACGCGGACGATTAATTTTTCGCGAAGACAATGTTCACGCGATTCATTCCACTTTCGCCGTTCGAATGGTAGTGGTCGAGTGAGGGCACCGTGTAAATTCGCCTTAACTTTCGCCTCCAGTCTCGCCCCTTTGTCTCCCTTGCGACAGGGAGCGTGCGGTCGTCGTCGCGAACGAGAAACTCGATCGGCGAGGGAAAAGGGTGAAGTAGGCGCGACGCCGCGCCACCGGTTTTTGCGACGGCTGTTTCTTTGTGGGACGATAGAATGGCATTCTAATATGGCCACAGTGCGAAAAAACACGCGCGATAAAAAGGCCGCAGGCATTCGCAACAAAGGAGCGTTCGATCGCGTTAGATGATCGGCGCAAATTTATCAGTCACCGTTGCGTGATTATCCGGTGTCTCGCACGACCCGTCATAATTTCTAATTTTATGAACACAAAAGTCAAACACGATGAAGTGTAATGTACAAAATATACACGAGAGTCAAAGTTGAGTCGCGTCTCGTTATAGGTCGAAAGAGAAACGCCAGGTGCCTTTAGTGTGCAAATAAATGTTTGAGATGGAAGACCGCAATTGTGAGTACACGGAAAGAAATTTATGGTAAAAATTACTATAGAACTTTGCAACCGAGGAACAAATCGACATTCCGCAGCAATTGACTGCACTGAGAAAAAAATATTTAGACATTTATTTGTGAAATATAAAGTTTATTCGCAGAAATAAACTTTATTTCACACAGCTAAACTTTACATCATACAAATAAATTCTCAACTGTTCTCGTGTATCCTTTCACTTTACACGTGCTACTTACATTTTAGGAATGTGCTATTAAAAGTTTTGCCCTGTTTCTAGTGAAATTTACTACGTTTGTGTTAGCGAGATATTGGCAGTTCATTCCTGCACTGCTAGAAATGTAGTAAAATCAAAAAGAATTTATATGAAGAAAAACTATGACACGTTGCCTGTAGTCATCAAAAAGTGATTAAACCAATTTGTCATATCTGATATTAATATCTAGTCGAATATAAATTGAACTTATATATACGAGATTAGATCCCGCCGATTGTTATCGTGATTCTCTTGTACCTTTCAACAGATTTTAATCGTACCAAGGCCTGGGATAGATTCCGCTCCCGAGCTCCCCGTCCAATTTCATTATCCGGATTTATGGTACAACGGCGGCGTACAAGTTCCTCATCGTATCGCGCCTTGCCGGCGCTTTTTAAGAACCCCGCTAGAATCTCTAGCCGAGCGTGTCGCGAACGTAGTACGCACAGTCTCGTAAAATTGCAGGCGTATAATAGCCTGCTGAATATTTTCACTGTATACGGCAGGTCGTGTCGATAGTGTTGCCTTCCGGCGTTCCCTCAGACGGCGCTGCGTCGTGTTAAGTTTTGTGCGATAATGTGCGTGCATAATATTTCCTCGGCGTGCTCCATCAGCGAGATGGGCCGCTACACACGCACATGCAAACTTCGCACGACTTACTACGGCGAGAGGAACTTCCTCAACAACGCGAAGGGTCGACGTGAAAAAGGAAAACGCGCGGGTCACAGGCGTCCGACCGGAAAGAACAACCCGGACGATCGGAGACGAAAATAAACGTCCACGTTGTGCCGTCCCCGTTTCGCCATTTGGAAACAAGAGAAAACTATAAAGGAAGGAAAGAAAAATAAGTCGTCCAACAGAGAGCGGAGAGCTTAATATTCATAGGTCAGTGTTGGGCATTAATTGATTAGAATTTTCTTCGACGGAAATAATCGGCGAATCAGCCATCGAAATTAATCGATCGTCGTAATATAATCGTAAAATTACAAATAATCTCATCGATTGATAAAATTAACTATCATCCAAACTTTGGTGTGACTGATTATACACTGATTAATAATCAATTTCATTAATCGATAAAATCATTTCTGATTACATAGAGTGAATCAGTAATTATCGGCATTTGGGATATCTTTGAAGTAAAAAGATGATCTTTAGATCACTCTTCAGAAATAAAGTACAAAGTCGATAGCTTTTAGTCAAAGTTGAGCTTTAGATTTTTGGAGTTACTTTAAAAAAAGGTTGAAGAAAGAAGCGTTTTATAATAGTAACGCTTTTTTCCCGAATAACTTCGAAGACATTCCAGGTGATAATAATAAATAACTGACTTGGTTTGTATACATGACAATCGATTAATCTTGATAATTCTTGATTCCCCGATTATTTTAGCGAAAGAAAATTTTCCTCGATCGATGCCCAACATTGTCGCAGGTCAAGGTTTCACGGAAAAGAATATGGCAAACACCACAATATCGTTGGCGGTGATGCTTTTCCAACTCGACGATATAAATCGTCCAGAAGAACTGGACGATTTAAACACCGAGTTAGCGTTCTGCCACCCTCGCCGGGTCGCGTTAATCGCGACGGGTGAAAAGTAGAGCGAATTAGCGGAGCGGAGGCGAAAGCGTAGACGCGGGCGGCGCGTTATCGGCCGAGCAATAATTCATATTTCACGCGAGATCGCAGGTACCATCGGCGATGTTGGAGGAGGAGTAGTAGTAGGTGGTGTGGTGGTGGCCCTCAGCGGCAGCTAACTGTAAATGCGAGTAGTCACGCATTCATGGGAAAGCGTTCGTCGGTCCCACGATCGTCGAACAGGCGAGGATCGATTATTATTACGAGAGAGTGTATCCGATTTCGCGCCATTCGCGCGCGAAACCGAACGAACTGACCGTAAGAGAGCCGCAAGACAGACAGACAGAGAGAGAGAGAGAGAGAGAGAGTGCGAGTAATATCGAGCGAATTGCAGCGCGTGGTCCATTCATTTGTAGCGGAGTCAACGACCAATCAGTCGTTAACTGCTAACGGTAACGAGGCGCGGCATGCGCCGCAGATATATTCGAGACGAGTAGAACAGGATAATCACGCCGGCGCGACGATGACGCGTTTCCGCCTGTTGGCTCGTGATACCGATGAGCGCCTCACTTGTCAGAGGAAAGTTAGCCAGCCAGGCAGGTCTTCCTTATCCGTACACGCGTTGAATTAAAAGACGTAGCCGCCACACGACGCGCGAGCGCTGATGGACTACATTCACGTCGCGACTCGTTAAGTAATGGATAATGGTCCGCGCGACGCGTTATCTCGATTAATTAGAAGTTTCGACGGATATTTCGCCGCGACGCCGAGCAATATTAATCCATTCGTTACGAAGTTTCGATACCGAGGAATGTTCGATATTGTCGATATTATTTCTCCGGGTAAAAATCCACGAAATATTGGTAACGCGCGATTCCCCCTATTCCGGTATCTTTTTATCTCGCGTTGAAACGCTCGCGGATTTATACGAAGCGATAAACAATCGCGTGGACATTTCTTTCACCCTCGAAAAATCCTCTTCTCCCTTCCAACGTGGGCGTCCTCCGCGACGCGGTCGATCTAACTTTTGGAGAAAAAAGGCGTCGCGCCGGCGACTGCGAGCGAGCTCTGTCTATTGTGTGCTCGCGCGCGCGCGCGCGCGCGTTCGCGTCAAGCATCGCGACGATGCATTATACTTTATGGCCCTGTTGGCGCGGATTTTAACGTTAAGTCGTTATCCATTTCCAGGACCGGCATGTGAAGGACACCAGCAAAGACCCGCAGATGGATTCGAGCCAGGACTACCGGCTGTTACTGGGTTACGAGAACAAGACGCACACGGTCCTCCGTTTCAGCAGACGATACGACACATGCGACCCGCGGGACCTGAAGATCACGGTAGGTGATGCGATTTATGCCGCTCGAAAGGCGCAGGACAATTTCCTGCGGAGTACTGCTGCTGCTGCTGCTGCTGCTGTTGCTGCATACTGCTAGCCTAGCGCGAGGGATTTACTCGGCGCACTTATCTTGCGCTATTTTTACCGAGAGATAAACACATCCCTTCGTTCTTTTTCTTTCTTTCTCTCTGTCCGGAGTATCCTCTGGAGAAAGATTAATGCGGGATTTATTTCGATGAGGAATAGATTAAAGAGATTTACCCCCGCGAATAAATCGCGCAATTTAATCCTCTCGCTGAAACACAGGTACACTTGTTTCGTCGGTTTGTACCGAGGCTCTTGGTGTTCGTCTGGAAAAAATGAGCGGAAGGGGGATTTCATTTCTATATCCGGAAGAGTGAATTCGCGCGCTCGTACTAATTATGCTCACGCAGGGCGATGAAACCGGAACACCGTGGCTATAAATCTCCTCATTAACGCGCGGATCTTCATGGTCGTGTTTTCTCTCGCGGCCACGCGGCTCATATTTGGGAGGGGGGCGGAAGGGGGGAGAATCGGTTTGAAAACATTATATATACACGCGCGCGCGCGCTCCGGGTTTTCAAGCACGCGTGTAAAGATTTTAAATACACGGCCGCGGAGTTAATTACCGCGCGTGTAATCATTACGCTGCGCGCGCGCACTCGTAAAAATGCCGCGCGAGATCGTTGCGCCGGGGGGTCGGGCTCGAATTAAATTCGGCGGGCTCGTTATCGCAATGTTTCCGGCGCGCGGTATTCCGTACTCAGTGTAGGACAGGCCGACCTACTTCTTTATTTCGCCGGTAATTAACTCGGAAATAGATTGCGCGATAGAGCCGTCCACCGCCAGCAGCGACCGACCGCCAACGTTCGCTCGACGGTGCTCGGCACGGGCTTAACCCGAAGGAAAGAGATTACGCCGGCGTCGCCGATCTGCTTTAAGCCGCGCAACACCAAATCTACGGCGGCCGACGAGGCCGCGAAGATCTAAATTCCAAATCCTCCTGTCGTTATACAGCGACCAGACCCGCTTGTTTAGCCGCTAATAGCGCCATCGATACGCATATGTTCCACGCTGATCCGCAATCGCTCAAGTGGAACTACGCGCTTAGCTTGTCTGCAGGGACGTCGCGAAAACCAGAGTTCCTCAAAGTCAAAAGAAGTTAGGGCACCGTTCGCTATTTATAGAGGAGAAGTGAGTGAGTGAGGAATTAAATATCCCAAAATTCAAATTTTATTATTGTCAAATTAAATTACTCTATTATGAATAGAATAGAATATTTTTAGATTGACAAATTTACAGAATATTCCTGGCGTCCCATAATTTTTATTCCCTTCTCCCCTCTTTAGGCATGACGCAGTTATTGAATGGTTCCCATAAGAGTGTAATGCACTTACACATAAAAATATTAATAGTCGTTACTTAAAATTTTTGTGCAATGAGATACACAGATTTGTGTTCAAAGTTAGATGAGAGTTTTTTTAATCGCGCCATTACAGATATAATGTCACATACGTCATATAAATCAACTGAAAAAATTAGATTCAATTCTGATCAAAAGTCGGAGAGTCTCACATGAAACAAACTTCAACTAACGATACAGTTCGGAGTGAGTTAGAAGCTGCAGCATGTCATTTCAGTGTTGAAGCTTCTCTTTCATTCTCCTACTAGAATTTCCCTCACTCTTACTCACGCCATCCCTGAAGATGGCGGACAGGATGCAGACCAATCGTCATGCTTTGTTCTAACTCTGATTAGAGAAACTCTACGCAAAAAGAAGAATCGCGCTCTCATCAGTGAGCTTTCGTACTGTGCGCCCACTTTCGCGTTGAAATTCGCCGAGAGCGCGTAAGATACGGTCACGGGCGCAGATAAAGAGTAGCGATAACGCGGCAACCCGTTTCGCCCTCGACATAGATGGAACGTGGAAATGTGTAGGTTTTCGTAATCGGGGCTTTAACACTGTTAAAGCCCCGCTGCGCTGAGCGTAAGGAGCTTGTAATGGCGGCGTTTTTAATTCTCAAGTGGAGCAGCAACGGGTCGCCGGGAAGGAAATTTTATCGCGGCGCGTGCACGATTCTATCGCGCGCGGGGAATTTACCAGCAAGTTTTGCAGAGATCTCGTGCGAATCCGTCTCAGAGTACGAGATCCCTTTGCACGTGCGCGCGCGCACGTGCTCGATATCGGAGACGCGAAATGCAATAAAAATATTGTCCCGGGAACGGACGTATCTCATTCGTTTTCACTAAGAAGGAAGAACGCGCCGCGATAACGCGGCGTTTATAGCCACGGGATGCCTTGAAGCGCTCCTATTTTTTATCCGTGACATTAATCATAGCGACTATTCAACAATTACATCACGCGAAATTTCAGTATTTTTACCCTTCCTCCCATTTGTCACATTTCGTCATAAAGTTTTGGCCACCTTCCACGTGACGTGAAATTAATTCCACCTTCCCCTTTATACAAAATAAAAAATAGCATAATTATATTAAAAGTAATAATTATTAAATGGAGCGCTATTCTGTCTTTTCTAAAATATTAATTATGCCTAAGATAAAATATTTTTTCAAATTATTTTATAACCTTATTAATTGAAGTTATATAATTAATGGAAGTTGTGCATTCTCTTAAGAAACGATAAATATCTAAAAATTAAAATTCTGATAATTAAAAACACAAAATTAAATTACTTTTATGTTAAAAATTAGATATAAAAATTTACATAGAGAATACTCCTGACGTTCTGTGGTCTTTGCTCCACCGCTCTCGCCATGTAATGTAATTGTTAACTGCCTCTCAATAGAAGAGATGCGAGAAGGGGTGCAACGAACTTAGGCGCGAAACCCAGTTCCTGCCGATGTAAGGACGAGCGCAGGCACGCGCGAGAAAACATATAGATTTTTGAAGGGCTCAGCGCACGAATAAATAACAGTTTTCTCGCATCAGCGTGCCCCCTGCCCTCCCCTCTCCGTCGACCGCTTATTAGCTCCTATTATCGTCACTTCGTTATCGCTTTCACGAAATCTCGCGGTGTGTTATCGAACATCAGAGCTTAACACACAATCGTCGGGGCTCGATTTTCCACTTGATCGTATTATTATCGCGCATCAATTTCGGCGGGCTCGTTGCGATGCGATCGCATCGTCTGGCCGCGCGTGCATAATTCGCTGCAGCCACGTCGCTATCGAGGCTGCCGCCGCCACCACCGCCACCACCACCACCACCACCACCACCACTATCACCATCACCACCACCACCACCACCGCCGCCGCCGCCGCTGCCGCCGGCCGATGCCACGTGGATAAACGGTGTACGTGTCCGTAAATATTCGCTCGCGGTAAATCGAATTCCCCCGCGTTACGTAACGTCGTATTAAGTGGTATTTTCGGATAATCGATTTTCAGTTAACACCGAAAAACACTCGCCGATTCGATATACCGATCCGGGAGATAATTTTTCTCGCTTCCCCGCGCTGCGTAATACACACGTGTGCCGTTTGTTTGCGTCTTGTGTAGTGTAGCACTGTCCAGATGCATCGTTAATGCCTAACCTGAGTTAATCATCGGTGATCAGCTATTTTTATTTTCAGGAATTGGCAAAAAATGAAAAACAGTGTTTGACAATACGGCGACAGTAATACCTCTGCGACAAGCACGCTCTGTTACTTTACAAAGATGTTTGTAAAATCGAAATGATATCGGTTGAAGTAGCGCGAATTTCAGGTTTTTATGGGTGTGGATCAAATAACCGTTTATTGTGAATTCCGTGTCAATAGTCGTGCCAATTTTATCTCTCACGATTGTCATATCGCGTCTCACTTCTGCTGTTTTAAAATGTAATAATTTGTGACATATGAAAAGTTACCGGAGTTATCAAATATAAAAACAATAGAATCTATTCCGCGAGTTATATCGAATGACGTTTCCGCTGAAACAGTACATCGAGATATCTGCAATTTTGAAAGAAGCAGGATCGCCGGCCGGAATTCGTGGCGACGTTGTCCGAATCATCGGTTCGTGCCAAGACGACCTACTCCTGCGCCTCGGGCACGCCCGAGGAATTCCTGGCGGTCGCGATCATCTCGAGTGTCGTTCCTCTTTACAGAGAGAAAGAGAGAGAAACGAGAATGAGGGCGACGCCACCGCCGCCGCTGACCCCCGACGAGAATGTCCGTCCGGCGGTTGAGTCATCGAAATACTTGGTCGCGAAAATAAAAGCGGGCCGTGATTCCATCGCAAACGAGAAACGACCGAGTCAGCGGGGCCCTCTCGGGGCCCTTATCTGATCGCGCGACGTATCGATACCCGATATAATATTTTTGCACGGTGTGTCTATCTCGCCGAGAGCGAGTACGATCGCGAGCGCAGCGGGTTGCAAGGGGATGCACGAGGATGTGCAAGAGGATACATGCGCTCGCGTCCCTCGAGATCCCCGGGCGGGGGAGGGAGAATAAGTTCCGGTTTAAAACGTAAGACGATATGAGTCGATTACTCAGGCATTCGCAGCCGCGATCTTCTTCTTCCCAAATGGCTCGCTAAAATCGATACATAAATCGCGCAAATTCGCTGAATTGTGTTCCGCTTTATATAATTGTGTTCCGCTTTATAGCGCCTAATGTTCCAAAAACTAAACCACCACTCTGGACATTTCCCGACTAGAAATTTATTCCGTGATCCTGACCAGATTGATCCTAATTAGTTTTCTGATTTGTATTGGATTGTTGCGCAATTTCTGTCGTATTTCGTGCGCTTATCTTCAAAGCTCAATAAATTATTATTGAATTTGTTTCTGAACTGCGTTGGTTACATATTACCTACACAAGGTAATAATGATCAATATGTTGTCAAAACAAAGTCTTTTTCAAAATTATATCAATTTTAATTCTATCCAAAAATACGACAAAAATTATGTAACAAATTCTTCTCAATTTTACTATATTTTCGATAGTGCAGGAAAATAGTGTCAGCAAGAATAAT